GGGGCACCTTGCGAGGCTGCCGGCAGCGAGGGGGTGCTTCGGTTAGAAACGTCGTCGCTTGGCAGCAAAGGTGCTGATGCGTGCAGAATGCTAAATTGCTCATCTTTTTATATATCCCTATTTTGTAAAGGAAAGTGAAGCACGTAGGCTAATCTAGCAGCTTGTTGCCCTTCCAGACGCAGCTGGCGGTTGATTAACATCGCTTCTTCACTGCATTTGTTCTTTTTGAAGGAAATTCCAGTGATTCGGAAGAAGAAGACCGGAGTAGCAGCAGCATAGAAAATCAGGCCATCCCGAACTCTCACAGGGTGCCAGATTCCAAATCACATCCACCGCACATCAAAATAGATATCATCAGGAAAGTGGAAGCCAAAAATACGCAGCGCTATAAAGTGGAATATGATTCACAGAGCACAGATACACTGAATTTCTCTTCTGAATCCAAACAAGAGACTGAATACGTAAGTACTTTTGTAAATGGAAAGGCATTTGCCTGCATGTGAGTGTGCGTGTGTGTGTATAAATACGCATGTTGTGCATACGACGAGATAAATAAATAAACTAAATAACTAAATGGTGGTAATTGTTGTAGCCATTCAAGGCATTCTGGCTGTTTAACCAGTAAAACCATTGGATCTACGAATGCAGACAATCAGCAGACCAAGCAGATCATGTTCAGAAAACACAGAGGCCTAATGGAAGGATGTTTACGTTGATACAAGTATGATTTTCACTAAGTCATTTCTTAGAGATCAGAAGTTCTTGTCCCCCCCTGTAATTATCACACATTTGTGTGAGTGGACTTGGGACAGGTTTAATAGTGTCATCATTAAATTTGGTTGCAAACAGCATTATTGGGTTGCAATAATGGGAAGAAAATATTTCACATTCAGTGTAGAGGCACTGTGTTTGTAGTCCACGGTGCAAATCAAAGGAAATAAACTTAGGCTGGGTTGAGGAGTAGGGTCTTGACTGATCAGTCATTGTTTGTATCACATGCTGAACACTGCCTCCACTTGCAGTCGTCGTTTGGTGCTGCTGCCTAAATGCAAAGGCTCACAGGCACATGAGCTGCTGTTGCTTCCTACTGGCTGTGCCCAGGGGATTTGCAGGGCAGCCAGAGTGTGGTCAATCTGAGGGGAGAACAATTCCTCTTCCTGGACGTCCTGGCTGATAACCTGCTGGTTATCCTTGTGCCTGTGCCAGGTGGCCTAAAAAATATGTCTGGACATACTTTGGCATTTCATCAAAACGGTTGTGCTGAAACCAGACATGGCTTCTCACTTGTGAAAAAAGGTTTTGAAACCTGTATGAGGTGGAAAGTTGTGTCTGAAGAGAGTGTGGCCTCCAAGTTAACACAGCAAGGGTGGTGAAGCTGCGTGTTGAGTTTGCTGCTGATGTCCAGCCGTCTAGTAAAAACACTTCAGTATCTGCCTTCCAAGCGTGTCCTTCTCTCAAAAACATGAAGTAAACTGTCTACAGTAAAAGAATCAACTTTGATAGCGCTGAGGAAATATGGTCCTGGTCTTAACTAGGATGAACATTTCACTTACACGGTGGTTGGGCCCCATGAGCAAAGGCACACTGACTTACCAAAGCTGCTGGTGTCTCTAAGAACCAGAAATAAGTCCATCAGGGACAGGTGCCTTTGTCAGCAAATGTCATTCTAGCTGTGTCTGCATGTTAGCTCTTGATATTGATCTCTCTGACTTTGGAAGCCTGCTTCAAAATGATAATTAAAAAAAAGCTGTTGATCTTTTTGTAGGCCTAACTCGGGACCAAATCTTTGAACCTGTGTGATCTGCAGTCAGCGTGTCCGAGCAGTTTCTTTTTTTAAGGACCTGCCAATCAGAGCAGCAATTTAAAGCACGTGTTTAGAGCATGTGAGATTGATACTGAAAGAAAACATATGAAAGCAGCAAGGAAGGTCTTTGCTAACCAAAAAAAGCAATTTTAAACTCTATTAGAACTGTGGAGTCTGTATGCTTTCAGACACTCACATGAAAGGCACTTTACATGAGCAAACTATTAATATTACCACTTGAAAGTATAAATGTCATTACTTCACTAATTAAAAATTGCACCAAATGAGTCTTTGTGTTGATACAGCAACTTAAACATTTTAAACCCGTGCAAGCATGGAAAGGATTTTTTTCGGGTCTCTGCTGAGGAAGTGAGCTGGTGGACCAAGTCAGTAATGTGCCCAGACAGGAGTGTAGCTAAGCACAGAGTTTGTATGCTGCAACTTTTCAATCCCAATCCCACTGCTGACTCTGACTGCCTTCTTGGCCTCTGGCAAAATGTGAATTCCTCCCCTCCTGGTTTACTGACTGCAAAGTGGGGCTCATAACGCTTTACTCCCTACCCTGAAGGACTGCAGTGAGAAATAATTAGTTGGCGTTTGAGACATACTCTTAAAAGTGCTTCTGGAAGTTCTTTTTGGCTCACTGTCCTAGAGCTAATCCTCACTACATTGTCATCAGCCTTTTGCAGATGGAGAAAGTGAGGCAAAAAGTGACATACTTACCTAATGAGAATGTTGTGTGCACCCATTCCTTTGCATGGCTGCACCCATTTGGTCCAGTTGAAATTGGGAGTTGTTGTCCAAAGTTGCAGTATTTTTATATATACATATACATTATGCCAACCTACTTGTTTTCAATTAAATCCATTTCATTTAAGCTTTTAAATCTGGCAGAATCACAAACATCAAACGGCATTAGGGAAAATCTACCAAGTGGTGTATTTCCAGTTGCCTACCTTCTTCTTTTCCCACTTGGTGCAAGGCCAGCTTTTCCAAACCTAAGTTATGTTATATATGATTGATTTACATACTGGTTAAACCTTCCTGTATGTATATGTGGCTGTGATTTCAACTGGAAATGCCAGCCTGTGCCTCAGCATAGTGTAGGGCCTTCAGTGTTTAGAAATCAGTTTATCCTGAATGAAGCAGAAAGTCAGAATTTTATCTGTGAATGGTCTGCCTTTTGACATATCCAGCCATCCCTTTGATTTCATGGATTTGTTTGGGTTAGTGCTTCTTGCCCTTTAAAGATTTATTAACTCTTGTGTGAAAGACAGCATTTGGGAATGAACTTTCATCTGTGTTTTCTAAAACATGCTCGTTAACAGGGTCCCTGTCGTAGAGAAATGGAAGACACTTTAAACCACCTAAAGATCCTGAATGTCTTGAGTCCCAGGGGTTTTCATATTCCAAATTGTGACAAGAAGGGGTTCTACAAGAAAAAGCAAGTAAGTACAGTCTTGATCGTGTCAATGAATGCACTTCACCTGTTCTGCATCTTTGCTGAAGGATCTTGCCAGCAAGGTGCACTACGTGTCATTTTACAGAGGAACTAGTTCATTACCAGTTTTGGGACTTGATCTGATAGTGCTGAATCTTGTCAAGTGGGGACAGTGTTTTTATTTTCTGTTGGTCATGACAACAGATTCATTTGAGAAACTTCATACCTAATCACACATGGATTGGCTGGTGTCCTAGATACTAATGCCCTTTGGTTTAAAAAAAGCAGTGCCTCTGTAATAACCCACAGAGTTAAATGTTGCAGTCACCATATGACTGCAATAGATCAATGCTCTGAATTGTAAATAGCTGCTTGAGAGTTCCTAGAAGAACTGCACTGGATCATATTACAAAAAGCAACTTGAGAAAGGCATATATCTGTCCTTTATGTGCTACACAGATCACTTCCAAAATCTAGGTCAAGTTATCGTGAAAGTGATACATCTAGTAGTTACTCTGCAGCAAGGACGGCTTCTCAGCCCTCTAGTTCTGGGGTTGTGACCTTTCTTGACAAATGCAGACCTAAACTGCAGGTATTTATGCTTCAGTTGTGTCGGGTTCAGCTACGGCAGCATTCTCCATTCAGTGCTGCCCTTGAAGCTCATTTAGGAACTTGGGGAAGTGCAAGACGTGCCAGGTTCTTTGCTTAGTGTGCACATCCCATCTAATTCCAGTGTGTAGTCAGTGACCTGCCTCCAAATGTGTTTCTTGGTATAATTCCAAAATTTCCTGAATTCAAAAGTTTCTTTAAGGTTTTTCTCAAGGCAAACCCTCTGTAAGGACAGATGTTGTTTGTGGACCATCTTGTCTCTCCCGTTTGGATTTACATGAGTCAGCCTCTCTATCTCTGGTAACCAAAGGAGAGGCTGACTCTGTGTTACTAGCTAATGCAGGTCAGTGGTTGGAAGTGAGAGGCCAACCTCCAAGCAGGCAACTTTATTTTAGCAATGGTATCTCTCCATTTTTTGGCTTCCAGCTTTCTTAGAAACAGTCTTTCTCTTTCGGATATTCCCTGGAGCTCTGTGTTAAGCTGGCAGTGTCAGGTGGGGTGTTGCGATAGGGGTGAGGTTTCCAGCCTTCCCCTCTGACATCAGCCCAGCATTGACTGTGCTGTTTGACCTTTGGTGCATGCTGCTGAGCTTGTCTATGCTCCCCAGCTTTTCCTGAGCAGGTGGTGGCAACTCCCAAGCAGGGACAGAGTTTCTTTTTCTCTGGAGTTTTGAGAAGCCCATGTCATTCATGTCCTGCTGTGTGTAAACGGGCAGAGACCAACGCTCACATCTCGGTCTGCATTTGTTCAGAAAATACATCGGACTGCTATGTGGAGTGAGGCTAGGACGGTTTTGTGCCTGCGCCATGAAAGCATTTGCTTAGCTACTCTAGAACAGTGCATCATTTAACTGCGTTCAAGGCACACAAGCTTACTGTAGCCCTTTTCCTTCTCTAGGTATCATAGAAGAACAGAGACTGGTATTTACTTTGTTCAGTAGATCTTCCTTTCATCTGTCCTCAGACTCTCAGGTTTTTGCTTTGTCAGCAAAAAGGTGGAGGTTTGCACGCAGTCTCTGGCATGTAGTAAATCAGATCCACAGTCAGCATGTGTTAAAGTGCCTTACTTTAAAGGATGACTGTACTTTAAAGTGCAGTCACAGTTCTGCCACTGAGGTGGAAAAAAAGGAAACATGGAGGAAAAAAAATAGGAAAGATAATACACTTACCTAGTCTTTGTTCCTAGAAGTTGATTTAGGAGAATAAGGTGTTGATACAGAGCAAAGACATGCTTCTGCCCTCTGTGTAGTGTCCGTGCTGCCTGGAGGCTTTCAAACTGCTTTAGGAAAGGTTCCTGCGCTATGTCCAACAGCCTGTCCGGTCAGCAAACACAGAGGATGAAGGGGCACTTTCATACCTGGCCAGCCTTGTCAAGCACCGTGCCAATTCACACAGGTCCAGTAGTTTCAATGGTAGTTTGAGACAACTTGGGATCTTGTAGGAGATGCCCACAAATGGAGCCTGTGTGAGTAAATATTCTACATGAAATGCAGTTGGACCTGTAAATGAACCTCAGTCAACCCTGGGAACAGGCCTTCACAGGTAGGGCTTACAGAGGCAGGCTGCTTCTCACACAAACAAAATACAAACAAAAAATAATGTATTTGAGTTGCCCTTGTAGAATTAACTAGGAAAAAAGCATCAGTTTGAGAAGTGAGTGAGTCCTGTCCAGACTGAATTCACTGTCCGCAAGGCAATGCGACAATTATGTTTTCTTTTTGGAGCATCAGCATGGAGGTCTGATATTTTAGGCACCGTGAGCAGGTGTCTAATCTCATTAAAAGAATGCTAGGCTATTTTATTAATTTCCTTCATTGCTACTATTAGCAGCATTCAATCTGTAATTCAATTATATTCTGTTGTGACAACAAAATTCAGAATAATAGGTTAGGAAATAGATAGTAAATCCATCAAAAAATGAGTGTGAGCTAGGCATTTTTAATTCCGGAAACAGCTGCCAAAACCGCTGCCTAGGATGATAATGTAGATAGGTGTGTGATGCTAGGAATCTGATAAATTATGATCACCCTGGAAACCATTAAAACTCATTCAGGAGACACTTCACATATTAGTATATTCTGCCTTCCTGGTCAGCTGCTCTTCCAGTCAAATTGAAAGTAGTTATTTTTAAAGACATTTGCGGACATCTAGAAATTGACTTTTCAGAAACTATATAGAAATTGACTATTTCAGAAACGGGGTGATTTGCATATGTGAAACAATTCTAAGAACATAAATTTATCTGTCAGGGTATAACATGAAAAATATTTCACACCTTGTGTTCTTGTGTTTATATATAAACTTTTTTAAAATCAGACCTATTAAAATTTAGAATTCTTTGTCTTAATAAATCACACATGGAAAGTTGTACTATTCAACTGTGGTGTATAGGTATATTTATGTGGAATAGGTTGATACAGGCATGTTTCTGCCTCAAGCATGGAAAAAAAGGTTTTGATGAAATCAGAATTATTATATGGGGCAATTACTAGAATTGCCCCATATTTGTATACCGGAGCCAGATACTCACCTAAATGTGAGCTGGCATCGTTCCACTGAAAACAGAGCTGGGCTTGGCAGGAGCCAAAACAGCCTGAGGTATATGTCAGTGCTGTCTGCAGTCTGTTCCGGGAGACCACAGTTGTAGGTCCACAGAGACCTCTGGGCTGACCAGGAATTCAATGGGATACCATATGCTTTGCTGTGCCCCACGAATGCCTCTGCGGCGTTTCTTTGTGGAAGGGAGAGGGGCAGGTGGCATGGAAGCTGGCAGCTGGTGTTTCTATCAGAAGTAATTACTGGCTCCACCGCTTGGGCAGTTTTCCAGCTTTTTGGACTTCGGAAGTCATACAGAAGAGCTGGGCAGAGCCTTGAAATGTATGTGGAGTACAAAATTCAAAAGAGCGGATATTTATGTATACATTTTTTCCATATGAACTGTCTACCACTTATGTAGGGAATGCAAGCTAGCTGCTTCAGGATAAAAGCATCACTTTTGAATCAGAAGTGCTTTACTATTGACAGCATGCCTGAGCAGGTAGTACAAAATCGCAGATTGGAAAAGGTAAATTGTTTCCTCACAGAGCATTACTTCAGCTGTAGAATGATCTAAGGGTTGCATTTTCCAAATGGGTTGTCTAGAAGAAATAAAAAAACATTAGTAGTAGGGAAGGTGTTCCTGCAGACTAACTTCACGTTGTAGATAATTCCAAAAATTGATTCTGCAACTGTAAAAAGCAATCAAAACTTCAACAACATGAGATAACTTTAAGTGATCATTTGTTTTGAGAGTGATGCAAGCCTATGAATCAGCGAGAGTTGTGTAACATACTTCATATAGTACTTCTAAAAGGGGAGGCTGTGTTACTATTATTAGCAGAAGTGTAATTTCATTGCTGGAGCACCAGGCTGGCAGCCAGAAGCCCTGTGCTCTAATTCGGGCTCCATCTGTGCCTGCTCTCTTGGGAAAAACAGCTCAAGAACTGCTGCCTCAGTTTCCTTTTCTGTAAAATTTAAATTGTGCAAAGGCTGTTGTTTATGAATTCCTCAGTTTTGAGCATGAAGAATTTAAGTAACTAAATGTTAATAACACTTAAGCTAGAGTCCAGTCCAGTTGCCATCAAAACTGAAGGAAAATTTCCAATCGACGTCAGTGGACTTTGAGCAGCCATTGACGGAAATCCTGGAGAATACATGCAAGCCCTAGTCAGGCTTTTGAGACAATAAACATAAGTTGTAAAACTTATGTTTGAAGATTTAGTACAGAAAACCAGCTGGACAGGTAACTAGAACTCAAATGCAGCTAACCACGTAGTTTAGCAAATTATTAATGTAGCTGTTCTCTCAGTAGGTTTGAACTTCTTCACCCTTTCCTAAAATAAGCTGATATGTACTTTAAGCTTGATCGTGTCATCCTGCTGCTGTCCATTTGCATAGGGCTAATGCAGAAGGACTGCAAATTCAGAGAAGAGAAGGCATTGTATTATTTCTGCATTGGGATTGTTACTCAAAAATATATCACAAGGGTAGATTAATTTGCAGTTACGGTGATTAACATTACTTCATTTACTCTAAAATAAAATAAACAAGATGGAAACTTGTTCAGAAATTTGTGTCTAATCTGTGATCTGCTCCCATCTCTCTTTCACAAGTTCCTAGTGAAGACTGTCTACCCTACTCCATGCTGCCATGAATTACTTGGCTCAGGGGCCCATGTGCTGGTGCAGGGTGTCCCAGGGGTGACTCATATTCACAGTTCTGTCCAAAATACCACCCTTTCGCCCGAGGTCCTAAACTAGATGTGGAAAGGGTCAGGCACTTTGGGGAGCATGTGAAGCCCAACACTTGCTTGATGTTTCCTTGCGTACCTGCATATGAAAAAGACACTTAGCTTTGTGAGCCACTGCCATACCCATGTGGGAGATGGGGACACACCTATTAGACTCTGGAGAACAAGCAGTGGAGAGGTAGTGGCCAAGTTTACCTGACTTGTATCAGCGTGAACCTCTGAAATACTTGAATTGCTGTGAGTGTGATCTCAGACACAGCATTTGCTCTGCTTGCAGGATAGCCTTTACAGTGTTGAGGGCTGCAAGTGGCTTCAGTCTAGCCAATCTTCCTTCATGTTGGTGATGAAACAAATGAAATCTCAGTCTTTGAAAAGCTAGGTATACTTGTGTCACTGCCTCCTTTGTAAGTCTGTCCTGACTGAACAGCCACCTCTGTTAGCATTTGCAGTGAATCCACTATCGCCAAATCTCAAAACTTGAGCTGACGTGGAGGCTATCTCTTGGCAGTGAGGTTGACCAGGGCAAACCTAGTGAGATAATCTGTGTCCTGGAGATACAAGTCTTTCGAGTGGGTGAAAACCTTGCAGGGTCCCAGAGGTTCACAGAGTGTAACTGTGTCCAGGGTTGCATACTGAATGCAACCTGCAGTGTGTCATCTCCTTTAGTCTAGTTTTTACCATTCTTGGTTCCTTGGGGAGAGCATTACGTACTTAGTACCTACTAGACTTTATAATGCATTTTTACTGTGTTACTATTTGTGAAGAAGTTCAGTGCAATTGCCTGTCTAGTGGTAGTTTCAGGTTGGTCAGCATTGCTGGCAAATTCCACCAGGCCAACTTCTAAAGCTGACATAGGTTATAGACTAGTATATAAGCAACCACAGACTAGTACATAAGCAACCTTATTTATAGGAAAATATACATGTAAAGTTCTAGTACACCTAGCAGTTGTTCAAGTGGTAACTCCATTACAAAAGGATTATGTATCTGTTAATAAATGTCAACTACAGTATTGAAATTCCTTCAGCAAACAGATGCAAGCCAAGGGTGTTTATTGCTGCAATGGCTGTCTTTGCCAGCCCTGTGCTTTAGCACAGAACAAATCTGTTAACTTTCTTTTCCAAAGATGGGTCCCAGTCATCAGCCTGTACTGTTACAAGTAGTCCCGGTATTCAAAGGGGGCAACTGTGCTGCCTGATATAATAGGGAGTAGTTTATAAGGCTGTTTTCTGGTAGTTCTTAGAGCAGTTTTATTATGGATTAAAGGGGTTGACGGGCAGGGCAGGTAAGCTTTTATTGTGATACTTTGTAGTGGTAATAAATATTCTGTTTGATTCTGTCAGACATGGCCAGGATATGGAAGTGCAGCCGTCAAATGAGCAGGAATCCCTGCTATATAACACTAAGAGCGGAGAAAACAAAAATAATGCTAACTGGGTCCTTTATTATGTTTCAGTGTCGCCCATCCAAAGGCCGAAAGAGAGGTTACTGCTGGTGCGTGGATAAATACGGACAGCCACTTCCCGGATATGATGGGAAGGGAAAAGGAGATGTCCACTGCTATAACTTGGAAAGCAAATGAGGGCTGGGTGCCAGCTCTTCTGGCATCTGTGCGTGGCTGCTGGACCTCGCAGAGACCTTGGAGGGGCTGGGCAAACACTGTGGACTGTGTTGCGCGTTGAGTAATGAGCTCTGCCTCCCGCGGCGGATGGAGCATCACAGCCTCTGCAGATGCTGCTGCACCCTGCCACCGACATGCGTCGGGCTTCCTATAGGACTTGTAGGGAGCTCTGAATTCCCACGTAAACCTGCACTATTGATACCCAGAGAGAGAAAAACAAAAGGCACTTCAGAATGGATTCAGGGAATCTCCACTGACTTTTTAAAGAACGGCCTGTGACCAATTTGATCCCGAAAGATACTGCTTTTTTTATTTTAAAGAATTTATAGATTGTAAGCTTGTAAAAGTATTAAAGAAACAAAACAAAACAAAACAAAAAACCCACAAGGATTTAAAGGTTAAGCTTTTTTTACAGGTCTGACGGGGAACTTATTTTCACGGGTAAAAAGTTTTATAGAAATCTCAAAGAACTTTTTAAAGAAACATATTTCTAAAATAAAGACATGGCTATTTTTTCTGTAAAATATATTATGAATATTCTGTTAGCCTGTATTTAATATAATTGTTTTTTAATAAACTTTATTTAAATGTAACATGTGAATACCAAATACTACACAATAATTCTAGTGTATACTTCTGTATGCAAAGAGGAAGTAAGGGTATGGAATGATTTACAAATATGTATAGACCCATATGCATACACACTGACCTATTCTAGATAATAGAAATGAACTTGTGGAGCGAAGGAAGTGTTTCCGGAAGAGATTAAGTTTTATTTGAAGTAACTACAAATACCAAGATAATCTTTTTTTAATTATTTTATTTTAGTGGTTTTTCTAATGTACCCATCACTGAATTATGCCACTGGAAAGGATAACAGTTGCACTGAAGCTCTCGGTAAAGCATTCTTCTGTCTGTCCTTCGCTTCAGTTTGTGCAACAGGGCTTACATTTCCTCTGTTTCCTGCTCACACTATTTCAGAATATTCATGGACAAAAAATTGCCATTACAGTACCACCCTTTCTATTTCGTTATTTATTTTGAAAAGCTGTATCTATTCTGTGTTGTCTTGGTACTATCTACCAAAGCACATATTCTGTATGAGGAACTTCTGTTTAAAACAACACTGACAAGATGGGGGGGGTATCGTGGACCCGGGTGTTGAGACCCTCGCGCTTCATTTATGCTACACAATTGTTGCTTGCTTTGACTTTGGTAGAAATGATTTGCTTGTATCTAAGCATAGAATAAGAACCATTGCGTTTAAATATTTAAACCAACTGTCTGCCACAATGTTATATGTCCTTTTAATTGGAAGAGAAGTGATTTGGTTTTGTTCTGGTATGTGATGCTTTCACATAAGGAAGACTTTGGAAACTTTTTTTTTGAGGCTGATTGTTTACTGAACTTCATGACAAATTCTGTATGACAATGAAATCTGGATAAGGAAAGGTGGCCTGTGAAATGTAACATCTCTCTGGAAAGTAATGCCATATTTTGTATATGTATTTATTTATATATTTTATATAAATATTTTATATATTTATATAAATATATAATATATTCTGGTATGTGTCACTATAAATGTTTGATGTCACTGTAGAAAAAAGAAACCATCAACACTGTAATTTCCTGTTGAGTTGGGAACTCTATGGAGGCTGAGGGCAGTGGGTTTCCAGCCGATGGGGCCAGGGGTTGTGCTGATGGAGGGGAGACCATGGGGCCGAGGTGCCCATTCCTCTCCCATACCGTGAATTACAACCACCCCTGTTCCTGCCAGCAATGGCAAATGTCTTGAAACTCTGACATGGAAAGGTTTGGATGTGCAGCTTGCCAGGATTGAGACAGCCGATCACCATAAATCAGATGTCTAAAGCCTTACCCCGAAATGTATTAGCTGAACAGCCCTGTGTGCATTTTGCACATCTTGCTAATTTCTACCTAATGAATGAATTCACGTCATCGTTAAAACTGAAATTTTTTAACCTTAGAGTAAGAAAAAAAAGTATACGTGAAGTGATGCTTACTCCAGGCTAATACAGCTTTCCTGACAGATGGTTACAGAAAGCTTTGTGAGGTGAAGATTTATTGCAATATTTTTACTGCTAATGCAAATGTAATGCCTGCAAAGATTTGTTGGCAAAAAAATAAATGCTGGGCCTTTTTTTTTTTTTTAAAGTTGTAAACCAGTTCCTTTCAAATAATTTCACAGAGGGAAGAAAGTTACATATACACCAATATTTGGGCACGTAACTATGGATATGAAAATAAGGGATGGATTCATGAAAGTGAGTTAGTATTTCGCCTTTTTTTTTTTATCGCTATCTTGTGAGCCTTCTGAAAAAGAAAAGCAGCTTCTCACCAAAAAAGGTGGATAGCTGCCTTGCAAGCCACATTTTTCCAGTATGCAAGAAATGTTTTAACAGCCTGTGGCAGTATTTCTGATTGGTGTATTTTGTCAAGTTTTTAAGCTTTTTATGTTTTGCCCTACCATTAAAAACAAATAAATACAGAAGCAGTTGGCTAGTAAAGGTCTTTAAGTGATACTAAATTCTGTGCCTTCACTGCCTTCAGCTCAGGTGGTTTATTTTTTTAAGTGAACATTTGTCAGCTTGCTTCTTGCTCTTAACAAGCTCTTTCAAGAATCTAAGGCGATCTGGGTGAACATTATGAAGTCTCAGAAAAATCCTTGTAACTGCTAATGTTATTTACACATCAAATATTTCCATGTGAAGGCACTACAAAAGCTTAATGTATGTACTGCAAAAGTTGCTTATTTCTTTTTGAGCATATTTCATCTCTGGATGCTACATGGGTACCATATGTAGCCCAGACTGATGTGGTAAGGATTTATTTTAACCAGTGTAAGAAATAGTTGCATAAATCCGTATAATTGACCAGAATGCAAGTTAAAGCTGCCTGCAGGCAGCTCTATTATCTTTCAAACTATTTGAGAAAATGCCTTTTTTTAATAGACCTACTGTGTTTGCTATAGTCTTTTGAGCTCAGAATATCCCTTTCCACCTTTTTGGCATGCATGCCCTTCAAGGCATAATGTTAGCTATTTCTGCACAGGGGAAGGAGGCTTCAATGAATACCAAAACCACAGAATTAATTAGTTTTTAGTACAGTCTGAACTTTTTATGACTAAATTCCATAGAAACCTTAACACAGCATAATTCTTTATTGAAGTGAGCCCTAAATTTAAGTAATGGTTTTACAGACCTTTTGGGAAATCATTTTTTTTGGTATCTCTAGTCACTCTCTAAAACTGTGTAAGCGAGGATGGCTCCACAGAGATTTTACGTACTAGCAATAGGAATTATATTTAAGGTATGAAAAGTGCTGAGCAATTTTCCTGGATGCCAAAGCATGTTAGTATTCAAAATGAAATATTTATATGGGTAGCTGTTTTGTATGTGGTCCTGCTGCGCCTGTAAGAACTCTTCACATATATTAATTTCTATCAGAAGAATATGCTTGCTTCCTACATTAGAAAGAACCCCTTTTTCTTCCCCCACTCCCTCTTTTTTCCTTGAGAGATCAAAAAAGAAGATCCAAAAAGTCTATCAGAATATTCCAAAGGCAAGCTTTTTGTGGTCAGTATCAGTAATGCCTTCATTGTAAGTGTGCAACATTAATTTTGTTTAAGGCCATAGGAAGTATTTGGTATGTCCATTGGACCTGAGTATCTTCTTCCAACTGGAAAGTATTTAACCTTCATTTGATTTTGGAGTCTCCCTTCTTGGATATATTCAGAAGCTGTCTGGGCATGTCCTGGGCAACCAGATCTAGGTGGCCCTGCTTGAGCAAGGGGGTTGGATCAGCTGACCTCCAGAGGTCCCTTCCAACCTCAGGCATCCTGTGATCCTATGAACCTGTCAGGATGTGGTAGCTTGGTGTCTGGAGTTCCAGTGCATGAGATTGTCTACATTATAGAACACATTGATTGAGAAGATGTTAAAAGGAAATTTCCTGGTAAAATGGCAAGTAGTGCAAATGTGTTGCTCGCCAGAAGAAGTTTTGGTTTTAAAATCTACATTTTATGTATTATTTCTTCCAGTTCAGATTTTGCAGCTGTAGAAGCATGTACACCAGCCTTAGAGAAAATCCCATTGTAAAAACCTTTGCTTTTGCTTTTGCCCTGTACATATATTAAAAAAATGCAATTGACTTCAAGGCTGAAAGTTCCAGCTGAACAAAACTGGAGACCAGGTATTAGCAGAAGCAAAGGGTAATGCTGCAAATCTCAGTTTATCCTTGCAGAATGCATGTCCTGCTGCAGTTTGTATCCTGGCTTTCCACTTCTGCTGACCTATCCAAATTCCTTAAGAGCCTTTTGCTGTCATGGCTAATTTCACCCCACCGCTCTCTCCAAGAGTGGGATGGAAAGAAAGGCAGCAAAGTTATTGCTGCAGAGAGCAGCTGAGATTTCCTCCAGAAAAATCTGTGAAGCTGAAGAAAATGTCATTGAGAAGGACTGCTTCCCAGAGCCACGTGTGGTAAGACCTTCCAAAAGAGGGGCAGTAAAGGGACTTGCTTATGAGAGACAGGCTGAGTGTGCATTTCCCTCAGTCCCTGCAACTGGAGAGCAGAGGCTATTTTTGCCTACTTATGCCACACAGAGAATATTCAAGGTGAAGACTTGTTTCCTACATCTGCTACATATCACATAACTTGCACCCAGTAAAAAAGACCAAACTGACTGAGCTTGAAAAGTTGATTATTGTTTTATCACAGGGGTGCCACATGCAACCTTCAGCCCTCAGATCCTGCCATACATTTCCACAGCTGCTATTACCCTGCTACCAGCAACATGTTGTGGCTCTTCTTTTTCTGTTCCCTTGCTGGTCTAAATGGTGAGAGCTCAGCTGCCGAAACAGCAATGAACAGAAGCCGCAGGCAAAAAGAAAATATGAAAGAAGATGATGATATAGCCAGCATTTGCTCGAGGCGTCCAGAGACAT